ATCCCTAACACAGCACAGGAGAGACCATACTGCAGTTTGGCGATGGAACAAACACGAGACGATCAAACTAAATATCAAAATATTCAGACTGCAACTTGTTTTTTGGAAAAAAAAAAAAAAAAAAAAAAAACGTAAATTAAAACTTTCAGGGACAGCAGTCACTACAGTGGACAGCTCATCGTGTTATCAGGTTGCCATTATTGGTGCGTGAAAGGGTCAATATATAAAAGAAGAATTATAACCATTGAAAGATGAACTAAATCTTGACGACTCCGCCTCAGACTCATGCAGGACGACGTGATTTAAGTCCTGCAAACCCAAAAGCTGTTTCCAAATTGGTCCTTGTTTACAGAGCGCTGGGTCGACCCTGAAAGCGGCCGCAGTTGAAATGCCACTCAAGTTATTTATTGTCACAATTACGTTGTCGTGCTGCGAGAGAGAATACAGTAGAGGCTAACAATGCGGTTCAACGTGTTGAATTTGTCACCAGATAACTATGTAACCTCACTAAATCAATCCCGCACACATTCGAAAGCCACTTATTAGTTTTTAGAAGATATTGAAATAATGAACTCAGTCAAGCGCAAATTAAGTTTGGCCTGGTTTTCATCACTGTCTGTTGGTTTGCTTTTAAAATTTACATGCTTAGTGAGAGCGGAGTGGTGCGTGGGCCAAGGAGTAACCCGATACAGTTTGGCGTAGATCTGGATAAACGGAAAGATCAATTCATTTATTTTCATTGTCGGCTGTTACAGGCGGCAGGCGTTGCAGCCAACGAAGCCAGTCATCCGGCACATGAACTTAAAATGTTTAAAAATGTAAAAACAGAATGTCAATTACATCGAGTCCTATGGACAGTTTGGTGTTTTTTTTCCAGCGAGAATCTAAAGAGATCTCATATGAGACCTTTTTCAAAACACTGCTGTAAAGTACTGTACCTAAACAGCGTTATCGTTCTAAAGGCAGTTGTGTTGAGGCAGCTCTTGCGTTGGATCTCATTGTACAAAGTGAGTGTATTCATAAAAAGAAATCAACAGTGACTACAATCAACAAATGTAACCAAAAACGGATTTCCATCCATTGTTTTTTCAAAATGTTTCTACCTCAATAGACTGGAATTGGATTCGACACCACCCCGGCGGTCAGTCAGGTACAAAATGCTCGCAAACTGTGAAAATTGAGTGCGTTCGGCGACAGTACGTGAACCACTTGTCTGTAAACAACAAGAGGAAGCAATAAAATTCCGTGGTACTGACTCCGAAAATAATGACGCAGTTGGACTTCCCTTGTATTGAAAATATCACGGTCATCGGCTATATATACATAAATCAAGTCATTAGTAAAGGAATAAAGTATAAATGATAAAGTAGCAAGAGAGAAGTGGGTCAAAAACACTGAAGAGGAGCCCAAAAAAAAAAAAAAAAAAAGAGATGCCAGTGGTAAAATTGAATGAGGGGTTAGCATATGGCGCTGAGGGTTTCCTACGTAAACAGATAGCCTCATTGCATCTTCATGTCTGCGAGAGAGCAACATTCCCAACAGCGAGGAGCGCACATCTGTCAAAACACGGCACCATTTCGTGGCCTTGGAGCTGCTGAGGGGAGCTTGACTTACTTTGAGCAGGAAAGGCTGAAAACACAATCAGGGGGATGACTAAATCGTTATATAGACATCTCTCTGCACTCTGTTACGCATGCTTGGTCGCTACACATTCATCATCAAATTGTGGACACTTTGGTATAAATCGTGTCATTTCCGTTCGCAAATTACGCGACACCAAAATGGCATGAAAACATAATCTCTGTTGATATATTTGTTGTCCGAGCGCTATGTTCGTTTTATAATCACTGCCTCAATATAAAGATTGAGGGTCGATTTAGATTTGTGCAGCTAAATCTGGCACTCCTGAAAAGATGTGAATTTGACAAAGCTGCTATTCGCCATTTGTCAGAATACGGTCTCTTCAAGTTACGAAACGCCTCAACAAGAAAAGATTGCCTCTTGTTATGAAAGAAATTTCAATCGACGAAAGGTAAAAATACAGTCTGGGCTGCGACTCGCAGCTCCGATTTTCTTGAACGCAACATACTTATAGCTGCTCTGCCATTGGCTATTACCTAGCATCGTTCTGGCATCCCATTGGCTAATAGGGACCTCTACCATTTGTGTCTATGTTCGTAGATAGATAGACAGACAGACAGACAGACAGACAGACAGACAGACAGACAGACAGACAGACAGACAGACAGACAGACAGAGATAGATAGATAGATAGATAGATAGATAGATAGATAGATAGATAGATAGATAGATAGATAGATAGATAGATAGATTTGTGTCTATGCAACGTCCTCGTCATTCGCCCCTCGGTCCATGAGGTGTTCCGATAGTTTTACGTAAATGTGAATCACCCAGAAAAAGTGTTCACCAGTCGGGCGAACGCTCACTATGCTGATGTTTGCCTGGGACATTTTCTAAACGCCGACAAAAACAAACAAAAAACAAAAAAAACCTCTTCTGAGAGAGAACATGAACTAAAGAGGGCAAAAAACGAGGAGGACGCAGTTAAAAATTAAATGACCATAATTTTTATTCTTTACTCTATTCTTTTTTTTTTTTTTTTAACATTATGCACAACTCTCATTTATTGTGCAATAATCTAATTTGTAACATGTATTTGTAACATATTTTAATGCATTTTTATGCTTGAGAAAACATTTATGTCAGAATTTTTTTTTTGGAGGGGCCGGGGGGCTTGTAACGGATTAGGGCATTTACATGGAAAACACATCTCTACTTATAACATTTTCGAGTTGAAAATTTTTCTTCCAGAACCAATTAATTTCGTAAGTAGAGGTACCACCGTACGAATAATTTTGTGTACAAGAAGGCTTTTTCTCAGCATCTGAAAAATCGGACTGGAACACCGTCAAATAACACAAAGGAGTGTTTTTTTTTCTTGCTCAAGGTCTGAAAGTCTTTCTCGGCTCCTCAAAAAAGCAATATATGCAGTTATTATTCTGTTTGCATTTGCTTGTTTGTAAAAAAAAAAAACAGCGCTACTCAGACAACAATTGTTGGTCTTGTTATATTTGCATTTTGAAAGCATCTTTGAGCATGACATCAGCACGAGGGGGTGAACAAGTCTTGCGCCACTTTGTCGGAAATCAAAGAGACGCACTGTCGTGTCATGGGCTGGTCATGCAAACTGCAAGAGAAAACAGTTTTAATGAGTGTGTGCTGGCTTGGCAAATATCTGGTGTTCTGTCAGATGTTTTTTTGCACTGTAGTTGTGCATGTTGCGTTGTCCCCAAAAAGTCCTGAGTTCTCTAGATGAGGGGGGGGGGGCTTGGGGGAGAAGTGGAGCACTGAAAGCAAGGCCTTGTTGCTCTCTGTGGTAGCCTGACCAATCGTCTCCTCCCCGCCCTGGCTCACCTACATACCCGCAACACACACGCATACACACAAGCAGGCGGGCAGGCTGGCAGCCCAGCTTCAATGGAAGAAGCCCAGTCGTATTTTGCGATGGATTCCTGAGTTTGCACAGGTAAAGTCAGTCAAAGAACATGTTGAGGCACCACCCTGCTATTTTTTTTTTTTAATAACTTAAAAGGCTTTCCTGAGGTATTTTCATTCGAAATGAGAATCTTCCTAATCCCACAAAATGAATGTCGGATGAACCAGACAGTAGCCAGCACAACAAACGTCAAATGTTGGAACAAAAACAAAAACCTTTCATTGAAGAGTTCTGTTGCATGGTGCCATGGCAACATAACATGTCAATCTTTGCACACGCTTCCCTCACAGTTCCTACGGTCATTCTCAGAACAGTTGGGTCAAGAAGGGATTGAGGCAGCTTTTTTTTAAAAGTTGGGTCAAATGAATAAAGCAAAACAACCCAATTTGGGTTATTTTCAACCCGACACGAGTGTTGGACCTGCGGATGCGTAGCTACGTGATGCATTTCCAACGAGCTGAATTCATCTTGACCCCCTCTCACGTCACTCAAGGAAGCACAGACACATGAGCAAGCAACTGTTGTGGCTCTTATCATCATCACAAGAGGAAGCAACTATTTCCCCCCCAAAAAGCAAAACCAAGCTCAGAGCCACAAAATCATTTAACGTGGGAGCAGCAAATGCTAAAAAAACCACCGTGGCACAAATCTCAATAGTGAATCAGAGATTCTACCATTCCAACCACAGATTTATTGGCTCAATAGTGACACTGTTCTGCACAACATCAGACAAATTCAGTTCTAGCCAGCCCATTTGAACTAAGCTCAGCCTTCATCCTGTCATATGTCATATTACATGCTAATTTGCTTTTTTTTTTTTTTTTTTTTTTTGACAATCTGTGACAATATCACAAATCACGGACAACTTTGGGCGAACAAACAGAAAAAAAAAAGAAATGAAGACGGCTCCCAGTTATGTTACGGTATGAGGGTCACATTTACAGGCGGTCACAGCAAATGACATTTTTTTTTGCTTTTCCCTCACTAGGATTGTGGGTGACCTGAAGCCGACCCAAGCTGACCTGGGGCGAGAAGAATCATCGGCATTTGAGAGCTGGGCACACACGTTCACATTCACACTTACCGACTTAACCCAACTTGCATTTTTTTTTTTTTGTAACGTGGCAGTAAGTTCCGAGACAAAACCCCCACACAAGCCTGGGATGAACACGCAAACTCCACACGAAGCCCGAAGCTGAGATGTGAACTTGAAACCTCAGAACCGTGAGGCAGATGTGCTCACCACTAGTCCGCTGTGATCACTAACGATGTTTACATTCATGAAAAATCTGCTTACACTCAAACTGAAAGATCATTTTTCTTTGAGGAATCCCACTGTAACTACTCGGTGTGTCCTTTGTGCTAGCTGCACAGTTGATGCATCATAAAACAAACAAACAAAAATGTTTCATACATCTTAATCAAGCCATCGTTTCTGCAATGTTTCGCTTACAATTACAAAAGATCGAACCTGTTATCTTACCACGACTTGTCGCTGGGCTCAAGGTGCTATTTTCAATCTCGATGTTGGCATTAACATGTAAACTGGTCAAGGGCGCTGCTGGACACGGGTCCCCATCATCTGGCGGTTCTGGGGAGATGGCAGGAGCACTCCTCTCCTCATCCATGGGCGTAGGCCTGGCTCTTTTCCGAGGAGGTGGAGGGACCCGAGAGCTAGCCTGAAGGAAAGGGATGGTCAAACATTATCGGTGCGGGGAAAATGATCGTGATATGAATCACACGAGCAAATGCTTATTGTGTTCAGTGGGTCATAGTGGGAGGTTGAACCTTTTTCACCAGCGCGATTAAGATATTCTTAAACACAGCAGTTTATATTTTCTTTCAATACTGGAAAGGCGTCATCAGGTTTGGTTTTGACTCACGGTGTTTTTCTAACATGAAATGCTTCAATGCTGACGTTCGACTGGAAATTGCTTTTACATGGAAAATATTTACCTTTTATCAAGGCATCCACCAGAAATGGTACTTGCTCCGCAGGGATGGCCCTACACTGTGGCCAGGGCGTGCTTTAGTTCCATCAAAAATTTGTGTAGCCGCAGTTTAGCCCTTCCAGGTTTATTATTTGATATTCTCAAATATATTGATAAAATATTTTATAAGCCTCCCTATGTATTGCAAGTGGTTATTTTGCATACCATCTAAGGGAGCCTTGTGGTACTTGTGCCCCTATTTGAGAATCGCTCATTAAGATTTTGCATATGGCACTCGGACAAAAACTTCAAAAGTCGATCCACATCCACAAAACTTCCAGTCAGGTTCAAGTTATTTCAAAACTCTTAACAAATCTGAGAAAACCAGCTACTCTGAACCGATTGTCAAGAAGCTCATTTGAATGGAGACTAAAAGGGGATTCTTTATTAAAATAAGTTCGAACGCTTTGGAGAAAGGAAGATGAATGGCAACGGTTGACAAACAGGTCGGAGAATAAAAGGGGATTCTTTATTAAAATGAGAAAATACCTCAAACGGGGTAGAACGCTTTGGCGAAAGGAAGATGAATGGCAACGGTTGACAAACAGGTCTTGAGTTAGTCGGACATTCCACCATGTGGTGTTTTGACAATGACAGGGAGAGAATGCTGGCTATGAGCACGTGAGTCATCAAAAAACTCATTCGGCGTGTTATTTTTTTGTAATTTAATATGTCACCATCAGGAAGTGCAAATAAAGTAGGTCCAATATTTATTCAATATATTCAGTGTTACAGAATGTCAAGTTAGATCAAGTGTCGACAGCCGGAAAACACCAAATGTGACCTTTCAATTCAGAGTTTCTTCAGTTGGATATGAAACACGAACCGGGATGAAAACAACAACAATGCAAACAATCTCGATCGATGCGAAAACTGGAGCTCGAGTTCAATCACGTGCCAGTGTGTTTGGCGCGCGCGTGCCACTCAGCTGGCCAGCTGTTTGCGCGCTCCCGCTGTTTCACAACCTTGACGACTTTCGGCATTAAAAGAGCCGAACAAACCAACGTTTATGTATTTGCAAACCCCGCATTCGGCGCATGCAATAACAAGTTCATCATAAAGTTCAATTGGGAAGGAAGGTGAAACGGTTTCTACTGTAGAAGTTTCGTTTCTCCTCCCCGCCCTCCCCTCCAAAAAAAGAAGTCAACTCAAGTCACGTCGAAAGGACATTTTCAAACTCAGGCAACTTTTACCACGACAGTTGCGAGTTAAACACTATTGGCTTTGCTTTAATTACACGCGTCTGCTTCCCTTAACGAGTCCCTGCATGCTGAGGACTTGAGTGAGAAGAACGTTCACGAGCTCGCAATCGAACGTGGTTTTGCGCCACACGACAACAACAAAGACGACGAAAACGAACTCACCTTGTGTGTGTGTGGATGGGTCGCGGAATATCGAAGCTTTTGGCTAATTCATTCTCTGACCTCTCCAGGTGGGCTTCTCTCACCCTCCGAGTCCTCCTCCTCCTCGCCCCCCTCCACTCTTATCTACACACTTCCACGGATCTTATCCACTGCGCGCCGGTTAAGTGCTTACTCTTAACCCGAAGCAGTCAGCTCGTACTACGGGTGAGCTTTCATGCCTGTGAATTACGAGGCCGGTAACCACATGTTTTCACGTTAATAACAGACTTTGTTTGTCGCAGATGGCAGCAATACAGGTAGCTACACACCGACACGTTGAAGCGCTAACTTTATGGGCACGATAGTCAACAGAAAGTATCAGGATGAGTCATTGCTGTGATATTTATCCCCCCACACCCCAAATCCAAACACACAAAATGTTTGCACACTTTTTCAAGGGGGAAAAAAACAAGTCTGGCGACAAAGAAAATAGTCCTCAGTTTCTTGAGACATATTTATTTGAACTGCCTCATAGTGGATGGTTAGCACAAGGTCATGTGGTACACATTGAGACAAACAACCAATCATACCGACATTTGCGGCAACTGCATGGACATTTCAGAATGGTTGGGAATCAGTGATCGAGACTGTCGGAAAGATGCACCCATATTTTTCCGGCTTTAGATTTAAAAGAAAGATCAGGTGTAAAAATTTCAGAAAAAAACGGTAATCAAATTGACAGACGGTAGCATTAGTCGTCAACAGTTTATTGAGAGCTGACAAAAGCATGACAGCTCTGCGATCGTGAGACATCCCACCGCAAAGTTTGAAAAAGAGGATTTGAGAACTCCGACTTGAGGGACAACTTCTTGGCTTTGTTTTGCTGGTGGAATGTCTTTTAGTTCAACTCTATATGCCAGCAATATATAGTGACAGGCAGAACAATTAAATGTCCCCCCCCCCCATGGGAGAAGGAGCAATCAATGTGTAGCAGTCATGATTTGATTATTAAATTAGGAATGAGTTGTGAAGGTCCTCTGCTACAGAGGCTTTCAAAAGTCTACACACCCATGTCTTTTAGTTCAACTATATATGCCAGCGACATATAATGACAGGCAGAACAATTAAATGTCCCCCCCCACCCCCCATGTAAAATGTGTCAATGAAGTTGGGGAAACACTGACAAACACAAATACATTTATTCCTCAAATGTCTCCGTAAGGCACTAGAACGGCATTATTTCTGCTACGCAATCAAATCTGCAGAATTTTCTTGGAACTGGAAAATAAATTCAAAACCTTAACTGACATTTCAACTTCTTAATCTTCTTAGAAAAAAGGGAACTCCCCAAATCATGAAATAGAAAATCCATAAGTGTCACAGGACCATGAAAAAAAAACAAGGTGCGTCCGAAAAGTAGATACGTTTGTCAAACGCAAATTTCAACGTGGTGCCAGACGATCAATCAGAACGTCTAGAAAAAGATCTTGCGGGGTTAACTTCGTTCAGTGCACGAGAAGAAGTGAGTGTCGTTGAGTGTACCAGCTCACGATGCCATAAGCATTGGAGAGATCCTGGCTGAGCAGAACATCGCCATGCTGCAGCAACTTCCCTCCTCACCCAACTTGGATCCAAGTGAGTTGATTCAAGGAGACACGTTGTTCAGACCTGGCAGGAGAACTACGAAGGATATCAGAAGAATCCAATCAGGAGTGCATTAGATTACAGGGGGATTACATTGAAGGTAAAAACGTGTAGTTTGGATTTACAATTTGTCTTTTGTGACACGTGTCCTGAAACATTTCGTGCACACCTTGTATTTAAGTGTGGAATGATTGACACATGGTGCTCGTGAAGGCATTCGTGGCTTGATGTTAATTCAATCGACCATACTGTTTGATATTCTGACTTAAACACATTGGACACAGTGATGGTGTGCACCAGGGTGAAGATCTTGTGATGCGGGGGTGGTGGTGGTGGTGGTGGGGGGGTCATCTTTTGGTCTATTTCTGAGGTGAACGGGGCCAAGCTATCCAGCGGCTGTGCGCACTAAGCAGGCAAATATGACAGTGTCGTTCCACATTCCTCACCTCTAACACTTCAATGAAATCATTCTCCAATTATGAATCAGTCGTGGCTGCTATCACAATAAGTATTATTTTAGTATTCACATGGGCTACAGCACATATGTAGTCCATGAATTATATGCCATTCGAAAAGAGCTCGGCATTCAACACTAAAACAGTTATTTTACCAATTAAGTTAGCATAAAGATTCAATGTAACATGAAGTAGCTAGCTTATAAAAAGCTAGCATATTTACTCTGCACATAACTAATGGTTGTCCCTTATTGTATAAGATCTGCTATTACGTCAATCTGGTGCTGACAGATTGATTTTGGTGTTTGAAAAGTTAAGCTAGCATTTAATTCATAAGCTAAGTGGCTCCTGGCTAACCCATTGCTCGGAAAGATAATGTAGCACATTTAATACTAACAAAAGAATGTGAAACCAAGAGGTTGTGAGAGTATGCGGAAATTAATTATAATTTCACATTCATGCACCTGAATCAATTTAAAGCAATCACAAAGTAGATAAACGTCCTCGTTGCTCAGCAGATTATAGCTAAATCAGTGGTTCTTAACCGTATTAGAGGTACTGAACCCAACCAGTACATATGCACATTCACCGAACAATTCATGAGTGAAAAATAAAAATTAGATTTTTTTACAAATTCAAGACTTTTAAAAAAAAAACACATTTATGAAAAACAGAGAAAAGTAAATAAAATTACATGGCCTAGTTCCGTGACGTATAGTTTTTGAGCGAACTAAATTTCCCGCAGCACTGATTGGAAAAGCAATGTAATGTGATCATCTGCAGTCAGCGATGGCCAAGCGGGTGTGTCATAACTAATTGACATCTTGAGTCGGGTGTGTCTTAACCTCCATGGCAGAGGCTCTGTCGAACCCCTGAGACCGATTCACTGAACCCCTAGGATTCGATCGAACCCAGGTTAAGAACCACTGGGCTAAATTGACAACAACAAGGAAAGAAGAACTTTTGTTGCGGTAATTTAAAAAAGGGCTTTTTCATAATTGTTATTCATTTTATGATTGCAGCGGTTTAACCCTATCTACATTAGATCCCACGGGATGTATTCTAATGCAAAGAAATGCATTTGATCTTTGAATTTTCACTCCCTTTATGAAACAGAACCTTATACAACGGGTCTCGGTGTAGATAAGTCTTCCTTGTAGTCCACCTACAGGGACACTTTATACTTAAATTAGCATTTCTCAGTGAGTAAAACCAACTCCTACTGAGCGCTTGCTCTCAAGCACAGATGCATATTAAAAAGAAGACGGTGTGCTCCCTCCTGTGCACAAGGGCACGTTGTCCTCACAAAGGGGAGCCAGGCCACGCTCGAGTATATTTCAAGCAATTCTACCTTTCTCATAGGATGCAGACATGCTCGTTGTTTGGCTTGGGCCTCTGAGGCTTCTTCTGAGGCTTTCCACTGTGCTCAGGGCCAGACTGAGCGAGAGAGTGAGAGAAAGCACGTTCGCCTCGCCAGGAGGAGGACTGAGGAAAGCGCTGCTCCACTGCCCTACTACTTCACCGGTACTTGGACCGACACGAGAAAAGGTTTGTTTGTGTGCAAACCAGTCAAACTCGAGCCATATGCTCACACACAGAATCGTTATTAAACCTTAGACGTGAATTGTTTGAGTGGTTCAGAGATGTCGGGTGGGAGAGAGGAGGAGAAAGAGAAGGAGGAAGAGGTCGAAAATGTGGTTCCAATCACTCACAAAGATGCTTTTGTTCTGCAGCTGTGGTCTTCTTTCTTTCTTTCTCGCTCTCTAAAATGGTCAATGTGTATTTGCATGAATCAGTCCGCTCCGTTTCTTGACCTCTCCTATGTATGTTTGCTGTTTTTTTGGGGGTTTTTTTTGCATCCAAAACCTTTTACGAGAACCAATAAAGTGTTCTAGTTGGTTTGGTTGAGCTCGTTTGTGGTTACGTACACAATGTTTTAGTCTCTTAAGTCTCTTTTGTTTTTTTTGTGAGTTTGAACATAATTAAACTCGTAGTGGCAAATACACAGCTCGAGGCAATCGCACTTTGTCCGTTTGATTTTGTTTCCTCAATGTGCTGTTATACCAGTGGCGAGGTCTGTCTGTCTGTCTGTCTGCCTGTCTGTCAGTCTCTCTTCCTCCCTTCACATCTTCCTGTCTCTCTTTGACGGCATTCACAGCAAAATCAACATTGTAAATCGACAGAACCTACCCCGAGAAAGAGACAGTCTTTGCATTGTTACTCTTTTATTTCATTTAGCCCAATATTATAAAATAGATTGTCAGTTGGAGAAGTCGTCGATAATGGCTGAGCTTTGTGAATGTTATTCATGAAAGGCATTGTATGAACGCAGTGGATTTGAAATGATTGTGTGTCCTCAAATGACGGGCACCAGCAGGAAAGCGTGAACCTTGACTCGGAATTCAGCAAAGAAGAAAACAAGAAACACAATTATAATTAAATCCTTTCTTTGCTGTAAGCCACTGCATTCTTTTTTAGAGCTGGTTTTGTTCTGATTCCTTTCTGCCGTGTCCATTTCCAGAACACAAAGTATTAATATAGACAAAAAAAAAAAAAAACAACAACAAAACACACATGAGTGTTACATCAAAATGGGAGCGACACGGTGACCTAGTGCTTTGCGCGTCTGCATCACAGTCGAGAGAACCAAGGGTTGAATCTCATCCCTCCTGTGGGATGTTTGCATTTTCTCCTCACACTTGCGTGGAATTTCGTTCCAAAAAGATGCATGTTAGTGTCACTGAAGAGTAATCTGGCCGAATGTGTGAATAGTTGTTTTCTTTCCTACTCGTACTACTGGCATTTTTCTAAGAATACTAACTCATTGAGACTTTCATTTAACGTCATGTGGAATTTCTTTCCAAAAAGATGCATGTTAGTGTCACTGAAGACTAATCTGGTCGAATGTGTGAATGGTTGTTTTCCTACTCGTACTACTGGCATTTTTCTCAGAATACTAACTCATTGAGACTTTCATTTAACGTCAATTCATTGGCACGACAAAAGGTAGAAATACGTTGATTGTCCAGCAAAACTTGCGTTGCTTGTTAGCTTGCATTTTTTAGTGACTCACCTAGCAAAGCAAGGACATGCGCATGTGGCCGTGACTCTTTCAGGAACTTGCCTCCAAAAGTGAGCGAATCTTGACTCTTCCCCCAATTATAGAGCTCTTGGAACATTGAAGATGTCAAAATTTCTTGAAATCAATAACCTCTCACTTCAACCTTTATCAGTGAAATACTTCAAGACCACTTGTAATGCCTCCACAAGGGGGCGGAAAAATAGAGAAAAATCTATGAGCAAGTGCATCTCCCCTCAAAGTCTACAATAGCCTCAAGTTACAAAAAGATGGGAGCAAAGCACTATTTTGGTGTAAATAAAACTCTTCAATTCACTTTATCATAGTTCCTTGGCGCCAAAGTGTCACAAAATTGTGCTGATGTGATACTTTTATTGCTTTGGCTTGAGCATAGGTGAAAGTTTCAACCAAAAACAGGCGAGGCTCTGGTGCACTGTATTTAACATACTGTAGGTATTATATAGACTGACAAGCCAAATGCCCGTTGATCAGAGAGGGATACATGCGGACGCTTGCAGACGTAGTCCAACTGGGCAGGTTGTGTTGTTTTTAGTGAGTCAACATGCTGTTTGGAGGACAGCCCACTGTGGCAGGCCACAGACTTTGGGGGCAGGGTTGGCGGGAGGAGAGGACGACAGGGTGAGTACAAGCGGGCAGAGAAAAAGATGTCAGCATGGCACTATGTACAGCACACTAAACGTATTTAGTGACTCATAGGGTCTGCCTGGACCTCAGTGCTCTGCATGATGCTGGGCCCTTCACACACAGCACTGTACACGCAAGCTGATATGCGTATAAAATACGTAAATGGTTCACAAGCACTACCGAGTGAAGCCTAAACTCAGCCATACCCTCACACCTAATATTTACTCAGTCCAGATGAGCATTCCGAAAGAAAGCCAAGGCGACACTGCCAAACACCAATGTGACACGCCAAGAACAACTTCTTTATGTTGCTTTGCACCCTGGCTCACCTTGCGCAAGGACATATCCTCATAGAGTTCCGCACACATGCCGCTGTACTTATGCTTGCACGCGCGGCTCCAACAGACTTCTCCCAAAACTAAAAGTCACCTGCACTTCGGTGCCCCGAGTGAGTGGATTTTCTCCCAGTTCATTGGAAGCAAAATATTAAACAAAGTTTCAACTTTCCCTACAAAATACAAAAAAAAAAAAAAAAAAATCATGCAGCCACTTTCCCCTCCTCTCCCCGTGGTAACGTATGCAGAGTGCAGCGCTGAGGTTCAAAGATAAGCTGCAGGGCATGTGCCGAAACTGCACCGAGAGAAAGCACAAGGAAAGAAAAGGAAGTATAGAGCAAGGTTACAAGAACTACAGTACAGTAGTTTGAAGGCATAAATAAATACCTCCATCGATCCATCTCGCCTGTCTGTCGCTGTTATTCCATCCCAAAATGTGCAGGTAGCTCAGTGTTCTGAACTCTCTGGCTCACCCTGTTGGCGGGATGACGTCAGTGGCTGTTTGTCTCAGTGTGTCTGTTTGTGACATGCTGCTTGTGTTGTCCGGTTTGTTTACTCCTCCTGGTGGCTGCTTTTTGTATCACAACACACCATAAACTCCGCATTTGTTTTCGTCTCCTCTTGAGGCATGTTCATTTTTTTTTTGCCTTACATGACTGCTGGGTAGGTATAGGTTGGACGATGTGGTAAACCAAGATTTATCTTTCACGTAATCTATATTTTGGGAAGTAAATGTTTTAAAACAGCTGTGTGTAAAAATCCTGAATAGATGAGTATGCTTTTATGACACATCTATGCCGATTTCCGAATTCAAAACGTTATGAAACTGAATTACAATATCTTAAATGATTTTACGAAATATAACGTCACCTGATATTTTTTGTTGATATATGCTCAGCCCCACTTGAACTATATAAGCGGCTGGATGTATAGTAAGTTCTGCTTGGCCATTTCCAGTCATAGTGTTCAGTCACATGACAATGTCAATCTAACTGAGCATGATTGACATTTTGATACGGCTCTTGTTTTGGATCCCAATTGTAGCCAGCTAGCACTGACTCGTTGGTTTAAAACAAAGCATACACAAAATAAAACCTTACACCTTTTAATAAAGTTTGAGTTCGTTTTTGATCCATGATAAGATCTTCCATTAAATATATTTCGATTCCCAGTCAATAATAAATGTAACATTTCGTACCACAACAGATTCTACTAATAGTATTTTTTTAAATCACAATGATCAATACCAAAGGAACAAGGACTCAACATGGGACAGTGTAATAAGTATTTTATTGCATTTTATAATGCCATTGTCAATAATTAGTACAGATTACATGCAACTAGACCTACTGTACAGTTTTTTTATTGTCTGCATGGACAGACACAAGAAGATTCGGGTTACAAATACACAGATATATGTGTGTGTGTGTGTGTGTGTGTGTATGTGTGTGCGTGTGTGTATGTGTGCGTGTGTGTGTGTTTTATACAGCATGAAAGAAAGGGCAGTGACTGGCATCAACATGGCTACCTGGCATGGAGGCTCCACTGTGTCTTGAAGCCACCTGCGCCCAGCCCCCCGCCTCTAAGTCTTGTGACACTCGCAAAGAACAAGAAATAGCAACAAAATAAGCAAAGCGATAACGTGAAATTAAGTAACAACGCACTGAAGAGTCACTGCTGAAAATGTACACACATTCCTAAGGTTGAACCAGAGGAGAGCTGAAGTGGTCATTCGGACTTGTTTAATAGCGTCCATGCTCCACTTTGACAGTCCCTTCCCCCCTTTTAAAAGACGCCTGCGAAGCGTCCAATCACGCGCGACGTTTTTTGCCACGGAGGCCGTCCATCGCACACATGTACAAGAGATAACAGCTATCAGTGAAGGTGATCTGTGATGTCAATGGAGACTTTTGGAAGTAGCTCGCTTTCAGTTTGGTTAAGGTATCGGTTTGGTTACAGTTCAGGAGTTTGGACTTTGGTAGTCAGACGGAGAGCTGCATCTCGGAGCGCCAGTCCACATTTTGGTACCGTGACCACGCAAAAAAGAAATAAAACAAAAAAGGAAGATGAGCCAACAATGCACGCATTTGATCTGCCTTTGCGGGATTTTAAGAGAGGAACTGTGTGACTAGTCACACCACTATCCCGCCCGCAGATGATTGACAGCTCTGCAGGCCAGAGGTCAGCTAAGGAATGACAAAGGGTCTGGGGTGAGAGGGAAACAATGTTGGCACCTGAAAGGACCAACAGACAGTCCACATTTGTGTAAAGCAGGAGAGATGCTAAATATTCTTACACTCGATTTCTTTTCAAAGGTTTTGGTCCTGTCATTGAGAAAAATGAAAAAGAAATCCTTCTGAGGTATCATTACATCATGAAGTCAATTTTTAGTTCATCCATTTGTGTTCTTTTTTTCCTTAAAAACGCATAAATGCAGTACAGAGACAAAAAAGTATCAAAATAGACCTAGCTAAGATAAATATACAAACAGATCTTACCTAAAACCACTGATCTAACTTTTATTCTTTCAACCTTTTTTTTGTTGCTGCGATAATACACTTAAAAAAAAAATCATCGTCCCAGACGTTTTTCTGAAGAACTGAAAATATGGAGGAAAAAAAAAAAGAAAATCATCCAAACCAAGATACCTGCAGTACTTAATATGATAAATACATATAGTTCAGCATTAGCAGTACAGTATAGGAACCAGAGCTGCAAGCTTTACAATAGCTAAACAGGTGCAGGAAAAAAAAATCAGCGGAAATGAAAGGAAAGAATGCCCTGGAGAGATAAGTCAATCATTAATATACAAGAATACATCATGTTATGCCAAGAAATGTTATGCGGCGACCTGTGAACTTTTTTTTTTTTTTTTATAAAAGCGCCTTGTTTACAGGTGCACCTTAAAGCACAAGATCATCTACATAGTCGAATGAATGCAGCAGTTCCTCTTGTTTGGACTGAAGGAGCCATAATAAGAGTGTGTTTGTGTGTGTGTGTGTGTGTGTGTGTGTGTGCGCGCGTGTGTCCTGTGGGGGAG